TGAACTCTCATCTGATCCTCCCCATCCTGAAAGAGCTGGCTGGGATGGGATACGTGCCTTCTGCCTCCTGCCAGGGTGGATTCCCCTCCAGCCCTTCTTTCTCACACTTCCTCTGAGAAGTGAGAAGGGGCGATGGGTCCTGAGAGTTAGGTCTGGCCGTGACCAGGAGGCTGGGAGGTGGAGTTGAGGAGGAGTGGCCTTCCCACAGCCGGTGGGTGAATGGCTGAGCCAGGTTCTGTGCTCAGGCCTGGCTGAGCCCCGAGCCCATGAGCTTAACACTGGGCCAAGCTGGAGCCACAGGGGTGGGGGCAGCAGGAAAGCTATTCTTCAAGAGCAGGCAGCGGGCAGGGGATGCACAGGCTCAGGTGAAGCCCATGATGTATACCTGGTGCCTGGGAGGGGTGGCCCCTAAGGCAGCACGGGACAGCCTGCCGGTTTGATGGTTTGTTAATCGTCCTTGCCCATCTCAGTCCAGGGCTGAGAAAGGACTTGGAGAAGGACTGTGAAAAAATCATGTGGTCAAGGGAGACTACAGCATGGGGTGGGGTAGGCAAAGGGTCCTGGGGTCTAGTTCTGGCTCTTTGCAGAGGCTCTTTTGGCCAAGGACTTTGCTGCTCTGAGCCTCCGTTTCCTCATCTGTCAAGTGGGTGTGATGGTAGCACCTGTCTCCTCCCAGGGTCACTGTGACAAGTGAAGGAGATAAAAGGAGATCGTGTGGGTGGTATGCACAGGGCGTGGCTGGTACATGATGTGTGAGTCCTCCTCCCCTCTCCTGTCAGGACACAGAGGATCCAGAACATGCACCGTGCATAAGGCAAGGGGATACTGCAGGGAGACAGGGCTCTGGTATTATCACAGCGCAGGTAGCCTGAAACCTCTAGCTTCAAACTGCTTTGAGATGCACAGATGAACTCACTGGAAATGTAGAGGTTGAGCTGGAAAGGAGATAAGTTTGGTCTATATAGCCACTTCCATCAACTTCATACAGGAGGTTTGGCCAGGGTCATAAGGAGAGTTAAAGAAATAAAAAGTATAAAGTTTAGAAAGTAAGAAATAAAACTGTCGTTATTCACAAATGACAGAAAATCCAAAAGTATCTACAGATAAACTATCAGGATTAACATGTGGATTTTAAAGGTTGGAATATAAAATCAACTATTATTATATACTAGCAACAAATAATTAGAAAATGAAATTTGAAAAACAATTTTGTTTATGATAGCATAAAAACACTGCAAATATCTAGGAATGCATTTAATGAAAAAGGTACAAGGCGTTTACCGATGAAAGTACACAATATCCTTGGGAGAAATTAAATAAAACAAAAATAAGTGGAGGAATCGATTATTGATTAGAGGCTCAATGCTGTAACAATGTTCATTTCCCACAAATTGATCTACAAATTCAATGCATTTGCCTTCAAAAAATGAAAAGAAAACTGAAAACCAGCAGGATGAGTGTATGCTGGTGTTGAGGCTTCCCTATTGGGGTGGCAGTAGGAATGGGGGTGTTTGCTGGTTGGTAACCAAAGTCTTGGGTTTTAATAGCTTAGGGGTACAAGAGGGGATACCCTCTACCCTACTTGGAAATGATACCCCAGCATAAAGCCAGGACTTTAAAAAAGATATACCCTCAGTGAAAGGGCGAACTTGGAAAATATCCACCCATCTACCAGGGAGATAAAACAAAAGCTTCTCCATCTTGGCTAGGTCTCCTTTGAGAATTTGTGATTCAAAGTATGCTCCTTATTTCTGTTGAAAGTTATAATTTACACTAACGCCATGGTTCTAGAGTTTTGGAGCCAAGAACTTAATGTAAACGTTGGTGTCAGGGCAGGTACCCAGGGAAAGGAATTACAGATTCTCTCGGGACGCTGGAGGGACCTGCCCTCAACCAGGCTGAATGAGATTCCCACAGATAAAGCCCTACTAAGATGAGATACAATCCAACAATTACCAAACACACAAGGAAACAATCCACCATGAGGGAGCCTCCTCAGATAGCCCAGACAGTAGAAATATCTCTCAAGAGTTTGAGACAATAGTAAATAGGATAATAGATGAATGTTGAAAAGATGTAAATTATTAGAGACACATAAGGAACAATAAAAAAGGAAAGAAAAACAAGGAGAGAAGCAAAAGAACCCAACAGAGCTTTTAAAAACCAAAGCTATACTTGCTAACATTAAAAACTCATTGGAATTGGGAAAATTTGAATATGGAGTGGATATTAAATTAATAATTAAAGAATTATTGTATTTTGTAATGTGCAATCATGGTATTTTTGCTATGTAAGAAATATGTTATTTTTTAATGCATACCAGAATACTTAGAGGTGTAATTTAATTATGTCTAGGGTTTTAAAATATTTCAGCATAGATAAAAATAAATGGAGTAAACATGAGAAAAATTTAATAATGTTAAAACTAGACGTTGGGTAAATAGGATTTGTTATACCAGTGGTTCTCAAACTTCAGTGTGACACAGACTCACTTAGTGGGCTTTTCAAAATGTAAATTATTACATCTGACAAAAGATTTGCATCCAGAATATAAAAAAATTCAATAACAAGAAAACAAACAACCCAATTTAAAAATGGGCAAAAGATTTGGACAGACACTTCACCAAAGAAGATGTATATGGATGGCAAATAAGGAAAAGTATTCAGCATCATTAGTCATTAGGTAAATGTGAATTAAAACCATAATAAGATACCTCTACACATATCTATTAGAATGACTAAAATTTAAAAAAAGTAAAATCCTCACTGACATTGTCAAGTGTTCATAAGAATGTGAAGCAACTAGAACCTTCTCACATTTTTGGTGGATAGTTTCAAACACAGTGATAGTTTCTTACAAAATTAACCTCATTCTTACCATATGACCGAGAATCCCATTCCTGGGTATTGACCAAAATGGAATGGAAACTTACATCCAAACAAAAACCTGTATGCAAACATTTATTACGGCTTTGTTTAAAATCACCCCAAACTGGAAACAATGGAAATGTCTTTCAACAGGTGAATGGCTACACAAACTGGTTCATCCATGCAATGGGACATCACTTGGCAATGAAAAGCAACAAACTACTGATAACACAACAACACGGATGAATCTCAAAAGATTGTGCTAAATGAAAGAAACGAGACTCAAATGGTTACATACCATATGACTGCATTTATGTGACATTCTAGGGAAGGCAGAATTCTATGGAGAGAAAACAGAGCAGGTCTTGTCGGGGGCTCAGAGTGAGGGTGGGACTGGCTACAAAGGGCAGCAAGGGAGCATTTGGGGGGGCAATGAAAATATTCTAAAAGTTGATTGTAAAAAACAAATCTTGCGGGCCAGCCGAGTGGCGCGTTGGTTAAGAGCTGGCTTGGGACGCCAGCTCTGAGCAGCAAGGCCCCGGTTCGGATCACACATGTGTGCCAGTGACACTGCGTCCTCTACAGCTAAGATGGTGAACAACAGCTCGACCTGGAGCTGGGCTGTCATCAGTCACCGGGACAGTATAGGCTGCAGCCCCTGCTGCAGTGGGGCTGGCGGGCAGCTGGAGTGCACTTTTGTGAGCTGCTGTAGCCACCATGAGCAGCCGTCCAATGGCTGGCGCGCAACTGCCTCACCCGGGAAGAGCGCAATGATGATACCAACATGGACCAGTGAAGCGACGTCCTTCACAACTAGACTGAAGAACAAAAGGACAGCAACCCATCTGTTTCCCTCCCCCGATTCCCCAACGCTGTTCCCCCCCGCAATTCCCCAATAAAATCTTTTTTTAAAATCTTGCTTGTAGTGGTGGTTAGGACAAATTTCCCAAAACCCATAGAAATACACACCAGAAAGGATTAATTTTAATATGTGTATATATTAAATATCTGTGTGTGTGTGTGTATATATATATATATATATATATATATATATACAATTTTAAAAGTGGAGAAAAATGTTAGGTTAATATATTAACACACACACACATACACACACACACAGATTGCTAGACTTCACCCCCAAAGTTTCTAATTTCGTAGGTCCTGGGTGGAGCCCAAGAATTTACATTTCTGACAAGCTCCCTGATGATGCAACTACTGTTGGCCTGGGGACCACACTTTGAGAACCTCTGCTTTATATGATTCTAGTACTTTCCTTCTATTCAAAATGTATGAAACATTTCATAGCCAGTTAAAAAACCAAAATGATAAATTTCGTTGCAGATTAGACACATCCCAGAGAAATAGAGATAGGAAATATAATAAATAGGTGGGTCATGGGGGATAGAGTGGAAAGTCCTGAAGTACATCTATTAAGCGTTTCAAAACAGAGAGATGAAGTAAATAATACTCGATGAAATAATGGGAAAGTGTTTTCTAGAATTAAAGCTAAAGAAAACAGACTGACCTGGGGCTGCCTAGAATGTCTGAGAGTATGGCGAGTACACTATAAAGTACAGTTCTCACGAAGAAACATTAATCTGGTCTACTCAAGATTGAGTTTGCTCGTGGTCTCCACGGTCTCACCTGTGCTGTGATGCCTGCATGTGAGAGAGCTCTATATCCCAGCAGGAGTGCAAGCACAACCCCAGGGGTTGGAGTCAGTCCACCCAGGTTCTCATCCAAATGGCCTAATCTCCCAGCTGTGTGACTATGGACATGGGGTGTCCCTCTCTGGGCCTCAGCTTTCTTATATGTACAGTGGAGTAATATTACCCATAATAATAATACCCATGGGGCTAGGAGATGGTCAAACAGAAGACAGCTGGGAAGTTCCCAGTGTATGGTGGGTGTTCAGAAGAATGTTATTCAGCCCCAAGCGCAGAGACGGAGCCTCCCTTGGGAGGAGAAGCCATGAGGATCCCCCAGCAGAGACTCAGGTGAAGCTAGTGGCAGGAAGGAACCCCTTTTCCAGGCCATATCCATGAAGTGGAAGATTCCCAAAGCAGAAGAGGTTCGCCTGAATGGAAATGAAAATAGACCAGGGCCTTTTCTCTCTCTCTTGCCCGCAGACGATGGGCCTTATTCCAAAGGAGGCAAGGATGCAGGAGGAGCCGATGTGGCCCTGGTGTGCCGCAGACAGAGCATCCCAGGTAATGACCCCCCTGTCCTTCCTCTCCTTCTGTCCTGGAGGCACAGAGAGCTCTGGGTGGGGGTCAGACAGTGCTGGCTCTGCCGCTAACTTGCTCTGTGACCTTAGACCAACCACTTAACCTCTCTGGTCCTCTGTAAAAAGGAGATGCTCTCACGTAGCGTAATGCAGCCAAGTGTCCTGCTTACCAAGTGTTAGCTTCACTTGTCTTGGAGTTGGGGGCCCAGAATTGCCCCATTCTGCCCCTCACCCCCCCCCCATCTCTTGGCAGAGGAGTTCCGAGGGGTCACCGTGGTAGAGTTGCTCAAGAAAGAAGGCAGCACGCTGGGCCTGACCATCTCAGGTGGCACCGACAAGGATGGGAAGCCCAGAGTCTCCAACCTGAGACCTGGAGGGCTCGCGGCCAGGTGAGAAGTGGGCTTGGTGAGGGCCGCAGGAAGGGGACCAGGGACCAGTGGAAAATGTACTAGGGCTTTAGGCAAAGCAATTGGGCAGTTTTTAACAGGAGCACTGAGAGCTTGTTGTCTGCAGAAAGAAGGCCTCCAGTGGGGTCTATAATTCCAGGTCCCAGCTTCTTGTCTATTTACACCAGGGGCTGACTTGGCCACAGCGCCCTATCTCGCCAGGCCTTCCAGGCCTTTGCCTATGCAGTTCCCTCTGCCTGGAAGTCCCATTCCCCGTGACATCCTCCTGACAGACTCCTATCCATCCTTCCACACTGCTTCTGGGAAGCCCCCAACCCCGGGCTGGGGCAGCCGCTCTGCTCACACAGACCTGTGTGCCACTTCTGCACCACACACTGCCCTGGGTTTTCCCCATTGTTTTGCCTCTGTGGCTCCCTTGGACCATGAGCTCCACGAAACCTGGGAGTTAGCCTCTCCATTGCTGCCTTTCTGGGCCTTGCACAGGGCAGGCACTGATAAGTGTCCAGTTGAACAGTACAGAAGATTAGCAGTAAAAAGCCAGGAAGTGTTAGGGACTAGCAAAGGAGGTGATGATCTGGCCGTTCTTCAGGCTTGTCTGGGGCTAGTTAGAGCTATGAGGGTGACACCCCACCAGAAGGAAAAGCAGACCAACATCAGGAGAAATGCCACGCCTGGGTGTCAGACAGGTCCAGGTTAGATCTGTGCTCTCCCACTCACTCACTGTGTGACCGTGGACATTGACTTCTCCGAGCCTGAATTCCCCATCCGTAAAATGGGGATGCAGAAGTCATAAGGATTCAGTGGGAGGGTGGGTGTGAATGCTGGCACCTGTCACTGTGCATGCGCTCTGGCTTCCTTGCTCCCAGGAGTGACCTGCTGAACGTGGGTGACTACATTCGGTCAGTGAATGGGATCCACCTGACCAGGCTTCGCCATGATGAGATCATCACCCTGCTCAAGAACGTGGGCGAACGCGTGGTGCTGGAGGTGGAGTATGAGCTGCCCCCGCCCGGTGGGTGCCCTTGGACAGGGAACTTTCTCCACTGCCTTGGTTGTGGGTGGACACAGCTGCCTCCCCGTCAAGGCCTGGGTGGTGGGGATCATGTCAGATGGGGTAGGTGGGACCTGGAGACTGGCCACAGATATCCATGCCTCACCTGAGGACTTTGCCTACAACTGCAGTACGCTGTCACCAGGAGGCGGCAGGGCCCTGTTTATAACCCAATTGTCATTTTGCATATTTAGTTTCCAGATGTTTTCCCTTTAAGGGGGAAAGTTTTGGGAACATTGGCTGAATAAATTGTTTCCTGCCCTACCATCCTGCACTGAGTACAGTAGCCTAGGTTTCAGCCTACCTCTGAATTTTCAAAGTTGGTCCAATATCTTGAAATTGAGTGTCTGGAATTCAACCCTGGCCTGAGCCCACTAGCCATGGATTCAAGCCTGTGTTCTGTCATTGTCTCTGTGTGAGCGTGCGTAGGCCCTTTCCTCTCTCTAAATGGTGGACTAAGCGGGTATTAGGGGAAAGGGTCCCCCTAAGCCTCACTTGTTCTACCTGTTAATTGGGGGAGGAGTTTACCCTCACTGTAATCTCTGTGACTGGCTACCCAACTATCCTGGAATCAGCTTTGGGGATATCTGCTGGCTCAGTGATATGACTGAGAGACTCAAAGGAGCCCTCCATTCCTACCTAGTTCCTGAGAACAACCCAGGGACCATTTCAAAGACGGTGGACGTCTCCCTCTACAAGGAGGGCAATAGCTTTGGCTTTGTCCTCAGAGGTCAGTGTAATTGTCGCCCTTGGTTCAGCGGGTGGGAAGGTGGCTAATTCTAATTCTGTGTGTTCTGTTTTTCTTTAATGAATTTATATATATATATATATATAATTTTATATATATATAATTTTATATATATATATAATAATGCACTCATTAAAGCAAAACAGAACACACAGAATTAGAATATATATATATATCTGTATATCTGATATATCATATGTATATATATATATATATATATATATATATGTATATATCTCATATGTAACTTGATTCTGACTTTAAAGAACTCAGGACCATTAAGGCAATTGTTAAATGGAATAAAATTGCCAAGGAATGAAGTGTGCATGGTTCAGGGAAGTGAGAGGTAAAAGTTGTACCAGAAAATGATGGTGAAAGCTGCTACCAAGATTGAGAACAAAGTTTGGAACTATCTAGCAACCAGGGCAAGAAGGGAAACAGGAGGAGATCCAGGAAGGGAAGCAAGCCGTTTAACAGGGAGAGGACTTTGGTCATTTCCCCTACTTTCTGCCCCAGCTCTGGGTGGGGAGAGAGAGGGGTTTATAGCTGGTATCTCATAAGAGGGCCTGTGAATAGCAGGACAGGTCCTCAAGCACATTTAATTAAGGGAGCCTGCTTAGGGACTCTGGGCCTCAGGGTAGAAGTGGGTAGATGATTTCCTGTCTCTTGTTGAACTCTTGTCTAGGAGGTGCCCATGAAGATGGTCACAAGTGCCGCCCACTTGTCCTGACCTATGTGCGGCCCGGAGGCCCTGCGGACAGGTGAGTCTGAGCCAGAGGAAACCTTACAGCCTTGCACTGGGCTGACCTACCCCAGCTCTTTGTGAAGAAGGCAGAGTGGGGCTATCATGCCCATTCTCCAGATGAGCAAATTGAGGTTCAGAGAGCAGGTGCCCTTTGCCCACAGTCACTCAGGGAGTTGGTGGAGACAGGACTAAACCCCAAATGAAAAAGACACCAAGCTTTCTCTTCCCCAACATCCTACTGTCTCAGGGGGCCGGGGGGAGAGCAAGCCTTGGTGTCACGTCCCTCTCTCTTTCCCTGGCCTTAGTTTCCCCCCTCTATGGAATGGGTCCAGTAGTGTAGCCTCTAAGAGCTGCTGTGAGAGATTTGGGGGCATGGTGATCAGCGTCGCTATGGCCCTCTGTAATTCAGCCTCCCCGGCCCTGGCTGCGCTGCCCACCGACCCTGCCTGGGCCAGCCCTGATGCACAAGGAGGGAGAATGTGGTGGAGGAATGTATCCAGTTCCCAGCTTCTGACCTCCCCAGTGGGAGATTCCTGGCCATTTTAAGAGAAGTCTGAAACAGTCTTGTCAGAAATCTAAATCCGTCCTGGGACAGGGCCCTGTGACAAGCTATTTGTAGAACCTCCCAGAATAGCTTTGGCCACCTGTTGGGGCAAGCATTCCAGAGCAAGGATTTGACCCAAACTGAGGTGAACCCCAGCTCGGGCCCCACCCCGGGGTCCCTGATGAATTGGTTCCCAAGCACATTTGTCTCCAGGCCAGAATCGCTGCTAAGAAACCAGGGTGGGGATTGTGGGTAGGAATATCTGCTGGGCAGCATGAAGCCTCCAGACTGCCCCACTGCTGATGCTGTGTTGCCCTGGCAGGGCTGCCATCCTCTATGGGCCCTGGTATTTTCCTCTATCCCTGGGGCAGGAGGGAAGTGGTGACCTTGAGGGCCATCTCCAGCTCAGATATTCTAGGGTTGAGCTGGGACTGTGAATTTCTTAAGCACCAAATGGAGCGGGAAATGTCAGAGCTGACCTGACTCCCATCTGTACTCACCTGCTTCATATATTCAGCTGCTCTCATAGTCATTCATTCTTTCACTTGTTCATGCATTCTTTCACTCATCTGTTCTACCCCTTTCCCCTTCACCCACTCCCTGCACCTCCTCTGTCCTCTGTGCCCCCACCTTTCCCAGCGCACTCTCGGCAGGGCTGTGCCCAGTGCTCGTGCTGGGCCAGGCTGGCTGACCAGGCCCTTCCCTGCAGGGAGGGCTCCTTGAAGGTGGGTGACAGGCTGCTTAGTGTTGACGGGATCCCACTGCATGGGGCGAGCCACACTGCTGCCCTGGCCACTCTGCGGCAGTGCAGCCACGAGGCCCTCTTCCAGGTGGAGTACGACGTGGCCATTCCAGGTGAGCTGGCGACCTGAGGACTAGGGTTGGGCAGAAGAGGCCCAAGGGTGGAGGGATGGGAGAGTGGGCACAGATCCTCACCACTGCAAAAGGCTGTGTGACCTTAGACCAGTCACTTAGCCTCTCTGGCTATCTGGGCAACAAACACTATGTACCAGGCATTGTTTGATGCACTAGAGATCCAGCTGAGGACAATACAGATGAAGTCTGTTTTCAGGGAGCTGACATTCTGGTGGGGAGAGACAACAGTAAACAAAATAAATCAAATATAGAGGGTGTCAAATGGCAGTAAGTGCTGTAAAAAAAAAATCAAGGAACAAGATGGGAAAGGCTAGGAGGTGCCCTTTAATTTTGCAGCCATTGAGTGAGAGAAAGACCACGGTGGCTGGACCGGGCTGGTGTCTGAGGAGGAGCATAGAAGGGGTCAGATTCAGGAAATGTGATCAAGGTCGAGCTGGCCCGATTTGCTGATGTTTGGACATGGACGGGCCAATAGCAGAAGGAGCTAGGTTTCGTTTTTGAGCCACTTGGGTGGGTCAATGGAAGTGCCATTTTCTGAGATGGGGAAGGATTGTCGTGGACACTGCAATGCAGTGCCAGCATACGGCAGGCTCTCAATAAATGTGAGCAAACTAGTATTGCCCAGCAAAGTCTGGTGGTCAGAGCCCTCAGACCTGAATGCCTGATCCTCTCCTAATGCACAGTGGCTGTGTGAACTCGGACAAGGCCTTTGTCTCCACACACCTCAGTTTTCTAGTCTATAAAATGGGTGCAGTGATCCCTTCCTGGCAGCAAGGATTAAATTGAGATAGCAGAGTGAGGCAAGGGAAGCAAGTACTCAATAGTTGCATTTCAGACTCTTCTTTCTTTCCACGTGCCAGATACCGTGGCCAATGCTTCAGGACCCTTGATAGTGGAAATAACCAAGATGCCAGGGTCCACCCTGGGGATCTCGCTCACCACTGGCTCCCACCGGAGCAAGCCAGTCATCACCATCGACCGCATCAAGCCGGCCAGCGTGGTGGACAGGTGAGACCGATGCTGGGTGCTGCCATAGTGAGGGGTGGGTGGTCGCCCAGAGCTCTGTCTGGCTAGACCAGCCTCCCCCTTCAACGCCCTCCCACCACCACCTGGCCAGGAGTGGGGCCCTGCATGCTGGAGACCACATCCTGTCCATCGATGGCACCAGCACGGAACGCTGCTCATTGCTTGAGGCCACCAAGCTCCTCACCAGCGTGTCAGAAAAAGTGCGACTGGAGATCCTGCCTGCGCCCCAAAGTCGGCGGCCCCTGAAGCCCTCAGAGGCAGGTGGGTCCACTTGGAGGGATTCCAGAGCACATCATATATATTCACTCATTCTGATCCTCCCCACTATCCTAGGAGGTGGCCACTGTCTTAGTCCCATTATACAGATAATGACGATGAGACACAGAGGGGAAAAGTGACTTTTCCCAGAGACCAGCCTGCTGACCCCAGAGTCGGCCAAGCCCCTGGGTGAAGGTGGGGGTGCTGCACAGGGAGGCAGAATCAATGCGCTGAGATAGCGGGGTTCTCACTCCTCCATCCCGGGATGCGTTGTACCAGGCTGAACCCCTCAAAGCCCCATAGCAGGAGGAAGAGCCAGGACAGGGCCTGGGGCAGTCTGGGAGGAAGTGTCACATGGCAGCCAGTTTGGACGATCAGCTAGAGCAGGTGGGGGAGGCAGGATCTCTGGGGTCCCACGTGAAACAGGCGCTTAGCCGAAGTAGAAGTACAAAGGATTCACTGGGGAAGGCCTGCGAAAGGTTGAAGGGGGAGGACGGAGGTCTGAGCAAGCCTTGGCCAACCCAACAGGAGCCCTGGCACACGGTTTGCCCATGAGAGCCCAGCATGGGCAGAAATGGCCGTGTCCTGGGGCCCTGAGGGCTCAGCCTTGTAGCCGATCCCAAAGGTTCTGTGGCCAGATGCCATCTGCCAATTGCACTCCTTAAAGCGGACGGGCCAGCTCTCAGGCTCCAGAGCCAGTCGGCCTGGTTCAAATGCTGCTCTACCACCTCCCGCCATCGGCCTTGGCCAGGCCTGCTTTTCCTCCCCTGTCCTGCCACTGCGTGGCTGAGCCCTGAGCACAGTGCCTGGCACATCATGGGTATCCAAGACATGGGATCCTGACTGCCTCACTGGCTCAGGGGAAACTCAGGCTCTCCTAGTCCTGCTTGCCTCACTCCATCTGCAGGTGGGAGCGCAGCCTCCAAGGGGACGTGGTGAGTTCAGACTCCCTCAGCCCCTGACGCCTGCACTTCTCTCTCCTCTTCCTCCGCTGGCCACAGTGAAAGTGCAAAGGAGCAAGCAACCGCATCGCTGGGACCCTTGCATGCCCTCCTGCCACAGCCCCCGGCCGGGCCACTGTAGGACATCCACCTGGGCCACACCTGCCAGCCAGGACCAGAGCCAATGTAACGTGCCCACCCCACCATGGCTTGTGCATGTTTCACAGGGGAGGAAGCCAAGACTCAGAGAAACCTGCCCAGCATCACCTAGCACATTAGTGATGGGATGGGCCCCTGTCCTTGGCAACTGGGTTTGACCAGGACTGTGAAATCCCTGCAGTCTTTGAGGCCCAGAGTGGGGAGAGACTTGCCTGAGGTCACAAGTGGTTGAGGGGAATGGGGTAAGGCATCTCCATGTCTTCCTGTGGTTGGGTGGCTTCCTGGCACCCACTGTGCAGCAGGGTGGAGGGCCCTGCTGGGGTTCACTGTTCTCTCATCTCCCCAGCCTTATCCTCAACTCCATTTTCCTCACCGACCATGAACCACACCTTTTCCTGCACCAACCCCAGCACCCTTCCCCGAGGATCCCAGCCCATGAGCCCCCGGACCACAATGGGGCGGAGGAGGCAGCGGAGAAGGGAACACAAGAGCTCATGTAAGCTATGGTCTCTTCCGTCCCTTCTGGGTTGCCTGAGAGAGATGTGCCCAAGGGTGGGGGATATTTAGGGCAGAGCTCCACGTGTGTATGTCGGTCGCTGAATAACATGAGTGGCACACCGGGCCACTGTGGGTGGTTGAGCAGGCTGTTACTGCATGAGGACCCATCTCAGGGGTGCCAGTTACTCTGTGCATTTTAGCCTTGTATTTTTATTATGGAAAATTCCCAGCAGGTGGTGGCCAAGTGTCTTGACTTTCAGGATGCCTTTTCAGATTTGCATGAAGGTCTCACAGTAACTCCATTTCATTTTTCTTTCGTGCAGTCCTTCTGACCCATTCAAAGTGCGTGGTGTCACTGACATTTTTTAAATTTCCTCTAAGACAAAGGCACACAGGCCTGAGACAAGCTATCCAGAATGTAATTAATTTTCACTTTTACTATATTATATTCCTACTGATTATAGGCTTTTTATTTATGATCACTGTATATATAGTTCCTTTTTGACATGAAGGTATTTAAGTTATTTTAAAGAGTGCGTAAACGTAAAGACAAATAGTCATGGAAAATAATGCAGGAGGCATGTGGAAGTAGCGAAAGTCACAAGAATGCCCAGAATTTTGAAATCTTTCCTGGGAAGAGTCTTTGCTTTGTTGATGTAGAAAGTGTACCCAGCCTTCTGCCATGTGAATTGCAGAGGCCACCAGGAAGGATGGAAGGTCAAACTGGGCCATTTGGAATTGAACCAGGTGAGGGAAAGGAAGAGTACAAGTCGCCTAGCACTTGAGAGGAGCTAAGCATGGTTATGAACTTCCCGGCAACCAAGGTGAAAAGGGAAACAGATTTCAGAGTTGGCTGAGAAATAAAATACACCTTTACCAACCACCTTTGTCAACCATCAAGGCTGGGGATGTGTAGGGGAAAAAATTCAGAAATGCTGTTCGTCAGCAGGGACATGTGGAAGCTGGAGGTGCTTGGGACACCTTCCCTGTCCTCTTCCTAGAGTGGGTGACAAAGTATCGTTGTTATTATTGATGATAATAATTAATTAATTAGTTACATGACATTTTGAACACCTGTATACCAGGAATCATTCTTATCAATAGGGAGGTAATAGTGAAAAAATAAATAAATATAAATATAATAACATAATATACCCAACAACAATATATTATACATCCTGTAATGTGTAATAAACAAAATGGTGTATAAAGATATAATAGTATAGTATAATTAGTAATAGAATGAAATATAAAAATACATTTTATTTAATAAATTATATCCAATATCCATATATTTTTTTATTTTATTTTTCAATTGCAGTTGACATTCAATATTATATTAGTTTCAGGTGTACAGCATAGTGGTTGGACATTTACATACCTTACAAAGTGATCCTCTTGATAAGTCTAGCACTCCCCTGGCACCATATAGAGTTATTATATTATCGACTATGTTTGCTATGCTATACTTTACATCCCTGTGACTATTTTGTAACTGCCAATTTGTGCTCTTAATCCCTTTCCAATATCCATATTAATAATACAAATGTATTTTATATATGGAATATAAAACAATATATACTAAGTAACATAACGTGTCAAATAGCTATATATAAAGTTATCATATGACCAAGGAATTCTACATCTAGGTCTTTGCCTAAGAGAAATGAAAGCATATACCATGTACACCCCAAAACTTATATATGAAGATTCATAACAGCATTATTCATAACAGCCAAAAAGTGGAAACAACCCAGATGTCCATGAACAAATGGATAAACAAATGCGGCATATTCATACAATGGGATATTATTCAACCTTAAAAAGGAATGAAATTTCGATACATGCTACAATATGCTACAATCTTGAAAACATTATGCTAAGCAAAAGAAGCCAGACACAAAAGGGCATATGTTATATGATTCCATGTATATGAAATGTACAGAATAGGCAAATATATGGAGAAGAAAATAAATTAGTTGTTGCTTAGGGCTGGTACAGATGTAAGGATTTGAGGCTATAGCTTAAGGGAACAGGATTTCTTTTTGAGGTGATGAAAATATTCTACACTTGACTGTGGTGATGGTTGTACAACTTGGTGGTGAATATACTAAAAACCATTGAACTGTATACTTTAAATCGGTAAATACTATGGTAGGTAAATTGTATCTCAATAAAGCTGTTGCCAAAAATAACGTACTATGTACTACAATATATAATAGCATTACAATGTAGCTAACCTAGCATATGATATAACATAATATCACCGACCCTCAGAACCTCTGTTCCAACATGACAATCCCAGGAGCTGTCTTCCTTAATCCTTGTCATAGCCCTGCCAAGTGAGAATCACAACTCCATTGTACAGATGCAGAAACTGAGGCTCCAAATTGGCTGTGACTCGACCGGCCTCTGGGCGAGTCAGGACTCCCACTCATTTGCACCCCTGACTCCCTGTCCTTGGGCCTGAGAGTGGGTTGACTCTGGCAGGAAGGCCTAGCTGGGTTGGCCCCCCTGAATGCCATGCCCGCCTACCTTGCAGTGTCACTGGCCTCCAGCACAGTGGGGCCAGGCGGGCAGATCGTGCATACAGAGACCACGGAGGTCGTGCTCTGCGGTGACCCCCTCAGCGGCTTTGGCCTCCAGCTTCAGGGCGGCATCTTCGCCACCGAGACCCTGTCCTCCCCACCCCTCGTGCGCTTCATCGAACCTGACAGCCCAGCAGAGAGGTGAGCCCACTACCTGCCCCTCCCCACTGGGCCTGCCGCTCTTCAACTCAGGGGCCTTACGGACAGCCAAGGAAACCAAGTCACACACAAAGACTGGCTTCACAAGCATATCTCACTTAACCATCACATGAACTCCACCACCAGCCCCATTTATAGGCGTGAAAACTGAGGCACAGAGAAGCTGATTCACTTGTCCAGGGTCACACAGCTCACAAGTGACCCAGGACAGGACTTGAACCCTTGTTTGTCTGAAGTCAGCATCCTCTATACGTACATCTCATAAGTCACGGCATCATCCCCATTGGACAGACAAAGAAGCTGAGGCCCGTCAATGTCACACCCATAGCCAGAGCCACATGATAAACTGCCCGAGGATCTCTAGCTGACAGGACAGGGCTGAGAGCCACACCCCAGGCTTGCCCCTGTACAGTGTTCCTCTCTCCCACTGGAGCCGTGATGGTGATGGAGCTTCTCTCTGCCTGGCTACTTGGGGTTCAGGTGTGGACTGCTGCAGGTTGGGGACCGTGTCCTGTCCATCAATGGCATTGCCACTGAGGATGGGACAATGGAGGAAGCCAACCAGCTGTTGCGAGATGCTGCGCTGGCCCACAAGGTTGTGCTGGAGATAGAGTTCGATGTGGCGGGTGAGTGAGAGCCCCTGGCCTCCTCCTCATGCTTTGGGACCCTGCGCCCCCTCCTCTCTTTATCCTGCTCTTGCTTGGTGCAAAGGTGCATGCCTGAGCCCCAACAGTGGGAAGGAAGGCACTGGCGGGGGTGGGGAGGTCCACAGGCCAATGTGAGGCTTGATGAGGGATGTTGCATTAGAACAAGGACCTAGGGAGGGCAGAGTGGGGCTGAAAAATGCCCCTGGCGGGGTTTAGACAAAGACCACCAAACAATAACCCGGGTTAGAATCCTGGGACACCCTGTGACCTTGGACAGCACACTGCTTGCCCCCACAGTTTCCCCAACTGTAAAATAGTGAATAGAATCCTTCCACTACAGGGGATGTTGCTTGTGTTAGATAAGATAAATCACGTGAAAACACGCAGCTAAGGCCTAGCACATAGTAGGTGCTCAGGAAATCGTCACTGGATTTGATTTGTGTTGGGTTTGGCAATGGGAACCCCCAGCTGGCAGTTGTGAGGTCTGGGTTCCAGGACCCATTCCACTCTGACCGGGTGGATTGGCTGTCTTGGACCAATCTCTCAGCTCACTGTGCTTCAGTTTCCTCATCTGTCAAGTGGAAGAACCAGGATGGGGCTGGGAAAGTGACTTTTTGGGGTCCCTCCCAGCTGGACCAGAATGGGTATGGGGCTGGGTCTCACATGGGTCCATGTCTCTTTGTACCCAGAGTCTGTCATCCCGAGCAGTGGTACCTTCCACGTGAAGCTGCCTAAGAGGCGTGGTGTGGAGCTGGGCATCACCATCAGCTGTGAGTCCCCTCTCTGCCATCCTGTCCCTGCGGTACCGTCCCCACCTGCCCCTGAGAGCAGAGTGAGCCCACCTGCTGGGAGAAAGAGCACACTGCCTGGCCCAGGGGAAAGGTTCCTGGAGGGGGGACTGGCTGACTTGTGTTCTCTCCCCACTGCAACGCCCGGCTGTGTCCTGAGGCAGGACTGGAACTTCTCAGAGTCTTGGTTTTCTGTTCTGCACATTGGGCGTCTTCAAACCTTTTGGGTCTCCCACTGGGGTGAAGTCGCGTGCGAGGCACCAAACAAGTGGGCCGGGTTTGGTTTTGTGTCTACTTCTGTGTGCCCACGGCCCAGAAGAGGCCTGAGACACAGCGCATATTCATGTTTGTCAAAGGAATGAAAGGGAGGGGCTGGAGAATGAACAGAGAAAGGTAGACCGCACAAGCATAAGAACGTTCTGAGCTTTCCCACGGCTCCTAGCTCACTCTGAGGAAAAGCTGAAGTCCTCAGGGCTGATGGTGCCCTTTGTGATCTGGTTCCCATGACCACGGACTTCACCTGTATCTCCCTGGAGCACATGCCTCCAGCCACTGCTGGCCTCCTGGCTGTTCCTTGAACACCTATGTTCCTTCCCTTCTGGCCCTGGCACATAGTAAGGACTCAGTACATTTTTATTGAATGAATGAATGAGTATAGGATGAATCAATGAGGAGAGAGAATGAGGCTGACTGGGATCTGGCTCAGCACAGATCCACCCTGGGAAGCCTGTGGGAAAAGAAGTTGGGATGAGGAGTATGGAGACCCCACTCACCTGGCCACAGCATCAGCTCCCCCACTGCCTTGCTGAGGGGACCTCCTGGCAGGTATCCACTCTGGCCAGGGCCGCACACCTATTGGGGGTCAGGCAGGGGGTGCTGGGACGCCATTATCCAAGACCTGCCTCTGAGAATAGACGACCAATACTCTAGTCCCCGTGTGGAATGATTCTCAACCCCCACGTAGGGCTTGATGGAGGAGCAGCTGTCCAGAAGCGTGGCTGCTTCTGCAGCTCCTTCCTGCCCCAGACTCTGCAGTCGATGGAGGTGGAAGTTTAAGCAACCTAGGAGGAGAGAAGCTGCTTCCAGTCCAGGACCCTCTGGGCAGGACCACCAGGTGCAGTTGCACAAGTTGTACATGTCACAAGGGTGCCCGTTCAAAGTAGTCTTACAATTTTCTTTTCTTTTTTCTTTTTTTAAATTTTTTTATTATTTTTTTTAGCTGAGCCATCCTGCCACCTGTTGGCAGCTCAGCGGCAGCTCAGCTCGGGCCGGTAATCGAACCGGCGACCCTGTTGCTCAGAGCTCACACTCTAAAGCAAGCTCTTCACCAACTGAGCCACTCGGCCGGCCCAGTCTTACAATTTTCTTACAACATTTTCTCAACAGACTAATTGGAACGGGCACCTTTGTCTCATCTGTGGAGATGCCATACAATCTAGAAGGAGATCCTATAGCCTGGTCACTAATGGGAAAACCCATTAGCCCACATGGATTCTTTATGCAAGAAAACATAGCCATTCTCATGATGCTCATTGTCTTAGGTCATGTTCCCCAGGAAACAGTTTCTCAAACATAGAGCTATGTGCAGCGGATTACTGAGGAGGGCTCTTGGGATCAATATCTGTGAGCAGTGAGTTACAAGACTGGGCACAGAGAGAAGCTGGGCTGCGGTGATGCGGTCGCAGTAGTCTCAGCCAATCCCACGGAGAGCTCTCAGCTGGGAGGCCCTGGAAGTTGCCCTGAGCTGGGCCTGGGAGCCAGGCCTTTGCACCACCTCGTGGACCCGTCATTGGTTGTAGGTTGCACCTGGGAGGGGGAATTTTCTTGGGTGAGGCTGCTCTCTTGGCTAAAGGCAGTTTCCAAAGCGGGATTCATCTTTGAGCCGTCAGCAGCCAACCCTCCCTGCAGCCGGGGAAGGAAGAACTCCACTGTACAAGAGTCACCCAGTTCTAGGTGCTGGCCCTATGCCAGGGCTGGGGACACAGACACCAGCCAGACACAGCCCCTCAAGGAGTTCACAATGTGCTGGGGGTGGGCTAAGCAAGAGGAAAAAGGG